CACTTCAAAGTTAGTCAAGTAAAGCTCTGACTGTTTATAAGACAACACTCCATTTACAGAAGACTTGAAAGCTTGCTAACAAGCCTATGGCATTCCCGGTGGCCTCCTTTGAATTTTTAGGGTTTAGTTTGGATTTGGCAGGTGGTTTTCATTTGTGCAAGGGTTTCCCAGGAATTCTGCCACCAGGAATGACTGAAGAGATGTAGCCTTTCTGCTCACACCCCTTCTCCTGCCAGCTCAACGTAACATGAGTTCATGTTGATTCTTTAGCAGCTTGCAACAGGAGTTAGTTTGCAGACACCGTGGCCTGGAAGAGCTGCATCCTATGACGCTTTCAGATACTAAGCATCAACAAATTGTTTGCAGGAAAAGGCCCAGCTGATGAATGGAAAAAAATCAAACCCAGCTCCTCCAAAATTACCCACCATGCAACATACAGAAGCCTGCAAACTGCCACAGTCTACTTCAGCTTTTGATCTTCTTCAAACTGCTAGTAAGAACAAAAAACTTAAATGACAAAATTCAATAAGTTAAAGTTCAAAAAGTGCTAAAATGAACAGAATTTCTGCTCAAAACTCTATTCATTAACTTTTATCACATCTCCCACCACAAAAAAAAAAAAAAAAGTCCTTAGGAAAGCTGAGTGCTAATTTTGAAGCAATCAAAAATGCATAGATATTTTAAATTACAAGAAATGGCTCTGTAACATCTTGACTATTTAAACAGAAGCAGATGGTTTACATGGCTTTACTGCTTAATTAAATATTTTATAAAATGATATCTGGTGGCATTCCCTAAGATGGGCTTTCTAAATTTAACTTACAAAGTAATTTTATGTATGTACCATATTAACTAGAAAATTAATTAAATATTCATATTCAATACTAACATACCAACCTAGTTTCTATTTTCTAATACATGTGAAAAATGTGATTGTCCACCTCTCTCCTATTTCTTCTTCACGATAATACTAACATTTTTTCATAATTCTACTGGGTGCCCTTATTTTAAATAGTCCTAATTTAAAAGCCAATATTTTAAATTTTGCCTTCCTATCCTCTTTACAAAAACAAAAATAGTGAAACAGGAAAAATAAGATGGAATTTATTTTATGAAGACCTTAAAACCAGCTCCAAACAAGATACAGATTTGGATGCTACAATGATGCTAAGATACAACTACTGAGGAGTGTGAAAGATCTGAGAGAGAGATGATAATGAAGCAGGTTTAAAGAAATTGGTAGAATTCATGTCATGAAAGAAAGGCTACTGGGAAAAGGTATGCTGTCCCCAGGTTCCCCAGGGCCAAACAAAATCAGGTTACACAGTTCCACAAAGCCACAATCACAAGGTTGGAAGAAAAAGAGGGATGCAAAGAAAAGACTGAGCATAGTGGGCAAAGTTTTCATAAAATCTTTACCAGGCACAAATCTGATGTGTCAATTTCAGCAAATGGAAGGGTTTCACAATTATTATTTATAGTTGCTGGCATTACTTTTCAAAGCTGATTCAAAACAAATGTAGCAGACTTTAGAAACGGACAAAACAACAATATAATCACTGAGCCAGGGGCTTGTTTAACTCTGTGACTACTAAAGACAACTTTAGATTAGAATGAAGTTCATTCTGTTCTCCTGGCTTACAGTTCAAATTGGCGAGAAGGGGTAGCATCACTCATTGTGTGCATAAATGGCCCTGCTCAGTTACACTTCAGTACAATCTTTACGTAAGCAGATGACAAACGTCTACTGCAAAGTGAAGCATGAAGTTGCTTGTAAGTGACTTGTGAGTCATGTAAAGTCATTAGGGTCACACGTCACGACACCCTCCAGGTAAATCAAAAGCTCTAGCATTAGGGAATGTTGCATGTTTTAAGCTACAGCAGCTTTTCCTGGTTCTTTCTGGGCACTTGTTCAGCACTCTGCAGCTCAAAATTCCACAGAACTGTGGGGGCCTCACCTGCTCCTCCTGACCCAACACAAGTCCATACCACTGCGCAGGGGAGCAAACCAAACTGTTACTAGATAGTCCTTAATTGATGAAATACAGCTATGTCACAGCACAGTTCTTTATACGTGCCCTGTACAGTGCAAAAAGATAAATAACCCCATTTTTCCATCTAGACATGCAGACACGTATTTTGATTAAAAACAGCAGTTAAAAAAAAAAAAACTGAAGCATTTTATTGAGTAAATCAGAAAATCAACCTGAAAAAAAAAATGCAGTAATATGCTAAAACTAGGATAGTTAGCTCTTCAAGAGATTAGAATCCTTAAGACTGTATAAGAGTGTCTGCTCCCTATCTCCTTTAACACTCAAATTAGGCATTCAAAACCACTGCCAAAAAGAACAGCAGAATAACTTATGGAACTCACTACCATTAGGAATTAAAGCAACCACTCTAGAGAATATTTTTAGACACGCATTGTTTTAAAAAACATAACATTAATTTAAATTAAGTTTGTTATTATTGAAGTTTTAATCATGGCTGAAGATCAAGAAATGCCGATTCTCGTGTTCCTCTAGCTAAACGAGAGCTTTTACACTTTTCCACAATACAGCATGAATTGCCTTCTAGCTGCATATGAGTTCAGAGTGAGAACTAATTTTGCTTACCCAGCGGTTGCTTATATTCCTCTAAGTGAAGCTTGGGCTGAAAAAAAGGAAGAAACACTTGACAGTTAGTTACATTAAACTAACTTAGGACTGACGTCTTTCATATATTTTAACATGCACTATTTCCTTAATGCCCCCGAGAGACTTTATGTATCATCATCTGCTAAAACGACAATTGCAAGACAATATCCCCACCCCACCTGGAAGATCCCAAGCCACTGAATACACACATAAAGAGATAAATGTTGCAACAAGAAGTCAGTCCTTCTGTAAGGAGTCTCATTTAAATTCTGAAAATTGAAAAATAAAAACAAAGGAACCACCTACTAATCTACTTTGTCACATAACCATTAGGAAGAATATATAAACGTTTCAGCAGCTATGCTTCTCACCGTTAGTTTGACAGATGTTTTGATTTCCACAAATTTGTAATAATGTGAAAATTATAAACTAATTTCTCAGGTACAATCTACGGGAGAATAATATTTTCAACTTTGTTGACTAAAGAGGTTTTTTTCCCCAAATATTTCACACTGGAAACCTTTGTTCAGACCGCTGAGACAGAAGCAAACAGAAAGAGCACGAATCAGTCCGGGTTGGACAAGGAGCCTCAGGTGCTCCTGTTTCGGTCTGGCACCGGCTGCAGCACCTGCCTCACGTCTGGTGCTGTGGCTGCACGAACGAGATGAAGTGCAGGGAGCGAACCGTACAACTCTTTTGACATCATGTCAAACAAAGCAAGCGCGTGGAGGGGCAAACTGCAAGAAAGTCTGGACTATAGGCATTGCCATATAATCCAGAATTATCCTTCAAGCGTAATTCTTGCAAAGATTTCTTGCAATGTACGTGTACACAAGAACCTGTCTTCCAGGCCCTGTTCACAAAACCCCGCACGTTTTCCCTCAACCGGCAGCAA